ACTCTGAAGATCAAGAAAGAGAACAAAACAGAAGAAATCATTGATTATGGAATTGTACAACAAATGATCTGATAAAGATTAAGAAGTAAATAATGGATGCCAATAGACAGAATAGATAACATTATTCCTGAGGGGGTGGTGGGAGAAAATGCTTTCTTGGACGTGATAATAATATAAGTCCTAAAGAATTAGTAGGAACTACATTGGTAGAATTACAGAAATGAGAGTGAGATCAATTTGTGTATTCCTGGAGCAGAGGGGAGGTATTTGGGTATGATACCAAATGGATATAATCCATACAGATCGATTTACATGTCCTAGTCTACAGCAGTTTAATGCAATTGTGGTAAAAATAATAAAATACAGTTGATCCTTGAACAATACAGGTTTGAACTGCAGTAATACGTGGAATTTTTTCAATAAATACATAGTACAGTACTATATGATGTGAGGTTGGTTGGATCCACGGATGTAGAACCACAAATATGGAACATGGCAGGCCAACTGAAAAGTGAAATAAGGGTTTTCAACTGCACAGGGGTTGGTATCCCTAACCCATGAGTTGTTCAAGGGTCAATCGCAATCAGAAGTTTTTCGATTCAAATGTCATTAATTATCTCAAAGTACATAAAAGTTTATTTACTTTACATTTCACAGGTTTATTTGGTGAAACTGCATTTCCTCTTCTCTCTTATTCTATCACACACCCAAAATACTCCAGGTACTCCTACTTGCAAGATGCTCAAATAGTGCACCCTGACATGCATGGAGCTGTCTTTTCTCTGTTAGGTCTCCTTTTTTTTTTCTTGTAGTAAGAACATTTAACATGAGATCTACCCTCTTAACAAAGTTTTAAGCGTAAATTACAGTATTGTTATTCATCTTGCATAACTAAAACTGAACAGCTCTCCATGTCTCCCTTCCCCATAGCCCCTGGAAATTACCATTCTACTCCTTGCTTTATGAATTTGATTATTTCAGATCATCATATAAGATTATCATATAAGTGGAATCATACAGTACTTGTCCTTCTGTGATCATCTTATTTCACTTAACATAATGTCCTCAAGATTCATCCATGTTGCTGCACATTGTAGTAGTTCCTTCTGTTTTAAGGCTGAATAATATCCCATTGTATGTATATACCACATTTTCCCAGGCATGTGTAGATGGATACGTACATTGTTTCTACTTCTTGGCTATTGTGAATAATGCTTTAAAGAACATGGGAATCCAAAGACAATATATAAATGATCAACAGGTATAGGAAAAAGGCTCAACATCACTAATCATCAGGGAAATGCAAATCAAAACCACAATGAGATATCACCTCACAACTGTTAGGATGGCTATTATATATTAAAAAAAAATAAAGACAATAGGGCTGGTGAGGATGTGAAGAAATTGAAACACTGTACACTGTCGGAAGGAATGTAAAATGATGCAGCCACTATGGAAAACAGTATGGAGGGTCCTCAGAAGACTAAAAACAACCATATGATCCAGAAATCCCACTTTGGGATATTTATCTGAAAGCACTGAAATCAGGATCTTGAGTACATAGGCCCCCTTCTTTCTGAGTACCTTATCACTAGATTGATATCTCTGTTTAGAGATTCTTCACACACAAATGAGCAGAAAATTGGCCCCTCTCTTTCTAACTTCTCTCTCTCTGGAAAATTTCCTGCTCCTTAGAGGGTGGGACGCAGGAACTTGAATGTGCAAGAAAAGGAAGAAATAGGGCTGTTAAAGACAAAAATCAGATTCCAATTTCCCTCCCAATTTACTGCATTGTAGGTAATATATATTGTTTCCCTGCAGGGAATTCACACTCAGAACCCACACCAGAGGCCAGATGGATTAGGAGAGGAGATCCATTCATTAAGCTATTAAACAGGAGCAAATGTTTTACCAACAACTTAAGCACATTTCACTCCACTTATGTTTCCTGATTTCACATGCCTAACTTGGATCTTCTGTACTAACTCTTGCTCTTAAAACTCCTTTCATATAAAGGAGGTTTTCCATATGGTACATAAAAACTCAAAGAACAAATAAGTTCAGAAATCAAGACAAGGTTTCCCACTGCTAACCTGTCAGAATGAGAGCCTCTCTTTTTTCTTCTTTTTAAATCTCTGAAGACTCAACAGACGTATTACAACTGTCAGACTTCCCTTAGACAAGTTGGCCATAATGTAAATAAATAGTCTCTCACCTTTGAAATTCTAACACTCAGCAGAAACATAAACCTCAAAAGCCACAAAAGGAAAAGCTGCCCTGAATTAAGGATGAGGCCTTCCAGCATAACATAAAATCATGTTTAGATGTGGGGTACTTCCTCACTGAGCATGCAGATGAAGTTAGGACTAGGACTGTAAATTCAAAATAGGCAAAGTCCTTAGGAGCAGAGAAAAACTAGTAGAATCTGTTGCCAACTTGCTCTAAAATAATCACTAAAGGAAATTCTTCCAACAGAAAGAAATATCACAAGAAAACTTGGAATATTGGGAATAAAGTAAAAACAACAGAAATGGTCAATATCTTAGGTAAATATAATAGACTATTCTCTAAGAGCTTTAAAATGTTTTACCGTTGAAAGCAAAAATTCATAATGTTGTATCATGGGGTTTTCAACATATGTAGCTTCAATTGATAAGAAACTGTAACATAAAGCAAAGAAGCTAAAGGGACTATATGGTGGTAACATTTCTACATCCCAATTGATATGATAAAATGCTGATACTATTACACTGTGAAATATTAAGAATCTATATTGTGATTTCTAGAGTAATCCACAAAAATACCATAAAATTATAATCAACTATATAATAGATAAATCAAATAGAAGTACTAAAAATGTTAAAATATGCCACAAAAAATAGGAAAGTAGAAATAAAAAACCAAGGGACAAAACAGAAACAATTAATAAAATTATAGACTTAATACAAACATAACAATAATTACCTTAAATGTAAAGTATCTAAATATGCCAATGAAAAGACAGAGATTAGAGGAATACATCTATAAACATGTGTTGCCTACAAGAAATTCACTTCAAATATGATATAAGGAGACTAAAATTAAAAGCCTAGCAAAAAGACATAGCACATGAATGCTAATCAAAAGAAAGCTGGGGTGGCAATAATAACATCAGACAAGTAAATTTCCAGTCAAAGAAAATTACTAAGGATAAGGAGAGGCATTACAAAATGATAAAAGGGTCAATTCCCTAAGAAAATATATATATACATCTTACTACACAGCTACAGAATACACATTGCAAAACCAACAGAAATGAAAAGAGAAATAGATAAATCCACAATAAACATCAGAAACTTAACACTTTTGCTGAGTAAAAATCAGGATCAATATGAATTAATACTCACAAAATCAGCAAGGATATCAAAAAACTGAACACCACCATTAATCAACTGGATCTAATCGACATTTATAGAGCACTCCACTAAACAACAGCAGAATATGCACTTAAGCCTGCATGGAACATACACCAGATACATCATATACTGGATCATAAAACAAACCTTAACACATTAAAAATAAGAGAAATCATATAAATTTTGTTCTTTGATCACAGTGAAATTAAACTAGAAACCAACACCAACCACTTACCTTGTTGGAGCCTTTGTATGAACTCTTGTTTTTAAAACTCCATTCATGTAAAGCAGGTTTTCCACGAAATACATAAAATCTCAAAAATCCCCACAAAATATTACCAAATAGGATCCAACATAATATAAAAGAATAATAAACCCAAACCATCTATGATTTATCATGAGAATGCAAGGCTTGTTTAACATTTGAAAACAAACATCTCCCACTATAGTTACAGTCTAAAGAAAATCCACATGATCAGAAAAGTTCATGCCCCAGAAAGTATCTGACAAAATTCAACATCCACTGCTAATAAAAATTCTCAGAAATTAGAAATAGGAGTCACTCAACCTGATAAAGAGCATCTACCAAAACCAAAACAAAACTACAACTACCTCACCCTTAATAGTGAAAGACCGAATAAGAGTATGAACTTACACCAATCCTATTAAACACACCATTCCTATTCAACAGGAGGCTGCAGCCAGGAAAATATAACAAGATAATAAAATAAACGTCATACAAATTTGAAATGAAGAAATAAAACTGTTCTTACTTGCAGATGACCTCATCATCTAAGGAGAAAATCCCAGAGTCTAAAAACAAACAAAACAGAATAAAACCTCTCACAACTAAATAAATGAATTTATCAAGGCTGTAGGATGCAAGGTCAACACATAAAAATCTATTGTATTCCTATGTCTAGCAATGTAATACACAATTATAAAATGAAATTCAAAAGCAATATGTAAATATTTAAAATAACCCCAAAAGGAAATACTCTTGTATAAATATGTAAAACATATATAGAAACCGTATTCTGAAAACCGTAAATGCACTGATGAAAGAATCGAAGATCTTAAAAAACAGAGATGCATAGGGAGCATCTTTCTATTTAACCAATTCATGAACCGCTCAATAAAACCAATTTGATCTTTAAAAAAATGCAGATACCTATTGTGTTCATGAATTGGAAGGCTCAACCTTGTAAAGATGTCATTCCTCGCACTTTTTTTTTAAGATTTAATTTAATTCAAATCAAAATTACAGCAGTATATTTTTGTAGATATAGCGAAGGTCATTCAAAAAATTTGGGGGAGTGGTAAGAGCGAGGTCACCAAGATGGTGGAGTAGCCAACTGCAGCCTCCATAAAGAACAACAATTAAGCAGCTATCCACAAATTTGCATAGCTCTGGGAGAGCTCAGGAGACCACTTAGAAGCTTCAGCAACACAGTGGAGCAAAAAAGCCCGATAATAACCTCACAAATAGGGAAGGAAGAATAGTTTCAGTTTGCCTGCATCACCCCATCCCCCAGGCTGGGACTGCTTGGCGCTGACAGAGAACTCTCAGACCCCAGAGAATTCCCTTCACCAGGAAAAGGAGAACAGGAAGAGCAACCAGCTTCCCAGCCTGCCAGGGCCCTGCAGGAGGACGGCCTTCGGTTTCATCCCACCCAGCGACTGGCACAGCCGAGCTGTCTAGAGACAGCTCGAAACAAGGAGGAAAGCAGAGGCTACGGATACCAGCCCCCGGCAGCGCGCCCACAGTTCCCGGTCACCTGCTCCGCCACGGACTCCAATACCCTTTGCCTCCGAGGGCCTCAACAGCTGCTGCAGATGCCAGTGGACCCCTGAAGCTTTCATTACTGAGGACCTCACTGTGGACCCAGCGGTCTGGTCTGCAGAGGACACCAGCAGTTTTCCTCACTGAGGAAAATAGCGGCTAGAGCAGCCATCATAGACCCAGACCACTCCTGCCGCTGAGGACTCCACAGGTTTTCTGGCGTTTACAGATGACAGTGACTGAGTCTCTACCCGCTTCTGTCCTCCTCCTCTCCGGCTGCCAGAGCCACCATGGACAGTTTGGCGCTGGGAGCCCGCACTTGCAGCCATCTTGCCTCTTCAGGAGGCACTTTAGCCTCCAACGACCGCTCAGGTTCCCGGATGTGGCGGGATTCCCGCCACCCGCCTCTTCCGCTGTGCGCATGCTCACAGCTAGCCCGAGCGCTGGCGGCACAGCAGAGAGCCTGACGAGACGCTCGCGGACGCTGAGGAGGCTCGGACCCCGACGAGGCTCGGACCCCAGGCTCCAGACCCAGCGCTGTCGCCTGTGCCCACAGCTACACCTGTAGCTCTGCATCTGCACACAGCAGACCCCTGTCACTGGCCTCCACTGCCGCGCACAAGCCCGCGACTAGCCGGCCAGCCCAAGGAGTGCACACTACAGCCAAGGCCTCTCAGCCGCTCCTGGGCCTGGTCCAGTCTGTCTTCCCTGTTAGTTCACGAACTGGAGCCTGGACATGGAGCTTCAGGAGTGACTGAGGAAAGAGGCAGCCCACTCCGAATTGGTAGGTGGCCCTTTAAATAAGCAAGGGAACTTACCCAAGAGACTTGTGTTGGGAGACTTCGAGACAAGTAGGTATCTTCACCTGCCCGCAGAATCTTCGCAGTTAATAGAGAGGCCTTAAGAGAGTTCAGTCACGTACACCCTCTCAGTTACTCTCTCAAGGCTATTTCACTGAAACGGCTCCAGCTGTGGGAATGGTGGGCAGAAGGTACATTCCCAGGACAGGGGAGGGGGTGAGGAACACCGAATTCCCAGCTCCAGCTCGCAGGTCGGCCAACGGTCACGTCATCTGGATGACCTTCTCCAACACTTTATTCCTCGGAATTAGCTGTTATATGCGCTCCTCTTTCACTCCTCTTCCAGAATGTGCCCTGAGTGGTCAGCCAGGGGTTTCACTTGCATGAAAGCGGCTCGTTTGGCGGCTCTCTGGCTACACCATCCCTGTGAGACATCCCACTGCAAATTACAGTAGAAAACGCCTTTCCCAGGTGTAACGGGGCTTGGTGTTCTCAGCAGTATAACAGGTTGATCCATAACGTGAGTCAGGTCGCTGGCTGTCTCCCATGATTTCTGTACCTTCACAGTGTTGAGTGTCTTGGCAGGGGTTCCCAGTCTGGTATATGAGGTAACAGGCTCTACTGGTTGGTTATTCAGATGTACGAAAGCCTGGTACCTATGCTGGTTCAGCAGGCCAAAGTGGCTTTACTTGTTACTAATTTAATCTGCTGCTTTAATATTCCATTCTTCCTTTCTATCAACCCTGCTGCCTATGGGTTATAGCAGAGATGGAAACTCCATTTCCTGTCATGTTCTTTTGCCCAGGCTTGCATGCCATGACGCTTACAATGTGACCCCTAATCACTGTCTATTCCATGAGAATGTACTCATGGTACTTAGCTTCTGTAATGCCCTAATGGGGGTAGCCTAGTTTGCTTGGCAACAGGGGAAAGCTTGGGTTAGGACAGACATGGTGTCCACAAAAATCAAGACATACTTAAAAACCTCATTTGGAGGGAATGGGCCAATATAATCAATTTGCCAATCCTTCACAAGTTGGGAGTTCTGGTGGATGGCCCCAGATTCAATTCGCAGTTGCCTTGGGCATTGTTTAGAACACAAAGGACATGCTATAATTACGTTAACCAACTCACTGTATATAAAGGTCAATTTAGCATCCTTGGCAATATGTCATCCCATCTGGGTGCTGTGGTAGCCATTCTTTCTACATATCCGATCTGCTGTTTCTACTGAAGGGTCAGTTGCTAGGGCTTATATCTGGTCTAGGGCATCAGCTTCCTGATTGCCAGGAGGTTTTGGTGCCTTGTGAGCCAGAATATTGAAAACAGTGAGTCATCCTCAGACTCTTACAGGTGAAACCAAATGTCTTTCCATATATCCTGACCCACAGGGGCTTATTTATGATCATCCATTTCTCAATAGGAAGGGACCTTCTTACTGTGACATGTTGTTTCTAAAGCTTTCTGGTCATATCTGAATCTATGCTTATTTTTATTTATTCAATTTTTTAAATTGGAGTGTAGTTGATTTGCAGTGTTATATTAGTTTCAAGTGGACAACATAGTGATTCAATATTTTTATACATTACACTCCATTTAAAGTTGTTATAAAATATTTGCTATATTCCCTGTGTTGTACAATATATCCTTGTAACTTATTTATTTTATACATAGTAGTTTCAAACTCTTAATCCCCTACCCTTATATTGCCCCTCCCACCTTCACTCTCCCCACTGGTAACCACTAGTTTGTTCTCTATATCTGTGAGTCTGTTTCTGTTTTGTTATATTCATGATTGTTTGATTTTTTAGATTTCACACATAGGTGATAACATACAGTATTTGTCTTTCTCTGTCTGACTTATTTCACTAAGCATAATCCCTCTAGGTCCATCCAGGCTGTTGCAAACGGCAGAATTTCATTCTTTTTTAGGGCTAGGGGGTTAATATTAAAAATGTATAAGGAACTCCTACAACTCAATATAAAAAATAATAACAATAACCTGAATTTAAAAATAGGCAAAAGATTTGAAAAGATATTCCTCTGAAGACACACGAATGGCCACCATTAAATACTAGGTGTGCAGTGTCACAAATCATCAGGGAAACGCAAATCAAAACATAATGACATATCATTTCACACCAGTTAGGATGGCTATTAATAAAAAACAAACAAAAAATGATAAACGTGTGTCAGGGATGTGAAGGAACTGGAACTCTTATACACTGTTGGTAGGAATGTAATACGGTGCAACCACTATGAAAAACAGTGTGGAGGTTCCTCAAGAAATTAAAAATAAAGCTATCATATGATCCAGCCATCCCATTTCTAGATACATATATGAAAAAAAAATTGGAATCAGTGTCTCAAGGAAACATCTGTACTTCCATAGCCATCATACCATTATTTACAATAGCCAAGGTATCAGAGCAACCCAAGTGTTCATTGACAGATGAATGGATAAAGAAGATGTGATATACTCTGCATATGGTGGAGTATTATTCAGCCTTAAAAAGAAGGAAATCCTGTCATTTGCAGCAACATGGATGAACCTGAAGGACATTATTGCAAGTGAAATAAGGCAGTCACAGGACAAATACTGCATGATTCCACTTATACAATATTAGGTATTTAAAATAGTTAAAGTCGTAGAAGTAGAGAATAGAATTGTGATTGTCAGGGTCTGGGGGAAGGGAAATGGAAGTTATTTAATGGGTACAAAGTTTCAGTTATGCAAAATGAGTAAGTTCTAGAGATCTGCTGTACAATATTGTATCTATAGCTGACAACACTGTATTATGCACTTCAATATTAAGAGGATAGATCTCATGTTATATTTGTACCACAGAAATATTTAAAAGAGGGGGCTTGTATTAGTCATGGCTCTCTAGAGAAACAGAACCAATAGGATATATAAAGATATGGAAGAAGAGATTTATTATGGGAATTAGCTCATGAAATTATGGAGGCTCAGGATATGCCATCTGCAAGCTGGAGAACCAGAAAAGCTAGTGGTATAATTCAGTCTAAGTCCAAAGGCCTGAAAACCACAGGAGCCTATGGTGTAACTCCCTGTCTGAAGGCCCAAGATCAGGACCTCTAAAGTCCAGGATCAGGAGAAGATGGGCATTCCAGCTCAAGAAGAGAGAAAAAGAATTTGCCTTTTCTTTTTTGTATTATTCAGGCTCTCAATGGATTGAATGATGCCTGCCCACATTGATAAGGGAGGATCTTCTTTACTCAGTTGACTGATTAAAATGCTAATCTCTTCCAGAATCACCCTCACAGACACACCCAGAAATAACGTTTCACCAGATATCTGGGCATCCTTTAGTGCAATGAATTTGACACATAAAATTAACCATCACAAGACACAAAGGAACCTTGGAGGTGATGGCTATGTCTGTTACCTTGATTGTCGTGATTGTTTCACAGGTGTATACATGTGTCCAAACTCATTAAATTATATACACTAAATATATGCAGTCCTTGGTATATCAATTATATCTCAATAAAGCTGTTTAAAATTTTCAAAGGCAGTATTGGCGAGGAAAAAAGCAACAAATGACCAAACAACCTGAATAGGTAATTCACTAAAGAGGATTATGTATGTCAAATAACCCTATAATAAAGATTTTAAATTTAATTAGTCATTAGGAGAATGTAAATTAAAAGCATGATGACATACCATTGCACACCTATTAGAAAGGCTAAAAAATTCTGCTAGTGTTAAATATAGACAAGGGTGAGGAGCAGGTGGAACTCTCATAAGTTCCTGATGGGAATGCAAAATGGTACAACCACTCTGGAAAACATTTACACAGTTTTTATAAATTTTAACATACACTTACCATATGACCCAGAAATCGACTCCTGGGTATTAATCCTATAAAAATGAAAACTTATATTCATGCAACAACCCATACATAAAAATTTATAGCAGCTCTAGTTGTAATTGCCCAAAACTGGAAACAATCCAAATATCCTTTAATGAATAAATGGATAAACAAACTCTGGTACATCTACAATGGACGACGATTATGAAATAAAAAGGAGTGGGATATTAATATATGCAACAACTTGAATGAATCTCAAAGAGATTATTTTGATTGAAAAAAGTACCTGTTTCAAAAGGTTATATATTTTATGATTCCATTTATATGACCTTCTCAAAAAAATAAAACTGTAGAGGTAGAATACAGGTCAGCAGTTGCCAAGGGTTAGGGTTGGGGGAAAGGTGAGACTGTAAAGGGATAACCTGAAGTAGTCTTTTGGAAACGATGGAACTGTTCTTTGTCCCATTTGTAGTATACATGATTCTATACAGGTGCTAAAATTCATAGAATGATGAAAGAAATAAATCAGTTTCACTCAACAATAATTTACATAATAAAATTACTGAGAGAAGTATCCTATTTTATTCAAATGATAGCCAGTGTTTAACATCCTCACATATAGTGGGGTGTTAACTACAACAAAATGATGCATATTTTATTTTCAGGTAAGTCATGGATGTGTTTAAGGGAAATTTTCAAACTGCCTTGATGGCTTCATGTCAATGAGGAAGAGGGGAGACCTAAAATTACCAGGTCAGGCAAGCACTTTAACAGAACATATTTACCAAGACAGGCTGTATAATTAATAACCATTTGAACTGGGTCTTAAGGTATTAGTAGGTGTTGACCAAATTAGGACCAATTATGTCTGGATCTTAAGTTTGTAGAAAGATGTAGAATCTCATGGTATTTGAATGGGGAAAGCTCTCAATTTCAAAGAGCTGAGTTTTCAGGGCAGAAGAATGTTTGATTTTATCTTGAGGTGAGTAGGGAACTGCTGAACATTCTTAAGCTAAAACTACATCCTCCACCTGATTTCTAAATAGCTGTAAAAACAGAACAGAACAACAACAACAAAAAACCCTTAATTTAGCAAAGCCTAAAGTATTGCCAGATCCTTTCAAAGATTTACATGTTATTTGACCTAA